TTTCGGGCAAAATTAAAAAAACTAGCCGTTTTCGGGCAAATCGGGCAATTCGGGCAGATCGGACAGTTCGGGCAACTTGGGTTTTCGGGCCGAATTCGGGTAAAAATTCAAAAAACGAGCCGTTTTCGGGTATTCGGGTAATTCGGGCACCTTGGGCGGGTCGGGCAAGTCGGGCAGGCGGGAAAAATTCAGGTAAAATTCAAAAATTCGGGCTCCGGGTCGGGCAATTCGGGCACACCCAATTTTCGGGCAATTTTCAGGTCGGGCAGTTCGGGCTTGGTCAGAAAAATGCAAAAAAATCCCGGCGGACGGCGGTATACGGTGGTTAGACGGCGGCGGGCAAGGGTGGACATGTCAAATCCGGGCTGCCCGAGCCCGAACCCGAATTTCTTGCTTGGACGGGCGGGAATTGGGCCGGCCCGCCCGAGCCCGAAAAAATTCGGGCTTCGGGCGGCCCGCCGACCCGAAGTTCCAGCACTAGCTATCATTACTAAATACGTCAGGTGAGTAGGTTTGAGACATTAACCTCGTTTATTTTACCATTCGAGTTTAGAATTCGAGTTTTATTATAGTAAAAAGCTCACAGAAACAATCACATTTAACTTTTTTACTACAGTAAAAAAACTCTCACATAAAGTCACATCTCAATTCAAATTAAAGACTCGAATCAGCGAATTAAACGGACCCTAAAAAAATTAAAAGACTGGATTCCATTTCAAACAAAAGGCAAAGAAGAACGACGTCTCTGAAGGCTATGAAAGTGTAAACTCTTGTTCAACAGTATGTGTCTCTACGGGTTTTTATGATTTATATATTTACTTGACCGATGTTGTAATATGCACTTGTTTTCAAAGTTCAAAGCATCTATGATTTTTCATTTTGGGTGCATTAAACCTTTGAGGCAACAGAATGCACCCCTACTATTATAGAACAAACTTCCAATGGAATCATCTCTTGTCATGTAATAATTCTTCAGTCATTACGGCTTCACACCGCTACATCCAT